CCGTCCATCCATTAATCCATCGTGTGTCTGTCTGTCTGTCTCTATCTGTCTCTGTCTCTGTCTGTCTCTATCCATTCATCCATCGTCTGTCTGTCTCTATCTGTCTCTGTCTGTCTCTGTCTGTCTGTCTGTCTCTATCTGTCTGTCTGTCTATCTATCTATCTATCCGTCCGTCCGTCCATCCATCCATCCATCCATCCATCATGCTATCGTGCTGTCTGTCTGTCTGTCTGTCTGTCTGTCTATCTATCCATCCGTCCATCCGTCCGTCCATCCATCCATTGTGCTATCGTGCTGTCTGTCTGTCTGTCTGTCTGTCTATCTATCTATCTATCCATCCGTCCGTCCGTCCGTCCGTCCGTCCGTCCGTCCGTCCGTCCGTCCGTCCATCCATCCATCGTGCTATCGTGCTGTCTGGCTGTCTGTCTATCTATCTATCCGTCCGTCCGTCCGTCCATCCATCCGTCGTGCTATCGTGCTGTCTGTCTGTCTGTCAAATTTATATTCGCTAAAAATGCATACATGAGTGATTATGTTTTGTATTCATCTGAAGATCATCTGAAGTGAAATTCCTAGTGTGAAATGGCTCTCATACCTGCTCTAATTTCCAGTGGAATTCAGCCGGTCTGAAGGAGTCTGTCTGAGTGTAGTCTGTCCTCAGCAGGAAAACCAGCCTGCAGTTATGCACATACAGAGAGTAATGGTGTCGGTTCATCTCTGAGAGAGACAGAGAAAGTGATAGAGACAGAGAGACAAAGAGAGCACAGAGAGGTCAAGAGACAGACAGAGAATACAATTACCTCTTGACATACAAGATAATATCGTTAAATTGAACCTGAGAGAAAAAAAAACGGCGCCATTTGGTGTGCGTTTATCTATATAGAGATCCTGACAGGAGAGGATAGTGAACTGAACCGGGCTGGAAGTAGAGCTCCAATCCTCCAGTACAAATGAAATTCTGATCTTAACTGTTTCCTCTTCAACCCTGCTGAAAAGACCAACGTGAACCTCCATGTCCTGGCTGGTTTTTGCTGGTCAGTTCTGGTTTGGTGCTAGTATAGCTAGCAGATCAGCAAGGTTTTTCTGATGAAGTCTTATCATGGACTTCTTGGTGACTAAGCTAGTTATACCCATAAAACTTCCTGTGTGAAATACAAAACTTTACTTAAAGCCTTTATGTATAATGCATTATAAAGGTATTCATAATGTACGCTGTAATGCATTGTATCTGTTCATAAATAATTGTAACCAAAGTTGAAATGCATTATAATATTTGTTTGTTTGTCATGTGTATTAATGCATTATGCTTTCTAAAGGCGTAAAGTATTATAATATATTGTAACTGTGGTTACAATTATTCATGAGATCATAAAATGCATTATAAAGTGAATAAAAAGGCATTAAAACTACTTTTATAATGCATTGTATATAAAGGCTTTAATTAAAGTGTTACCAAGCTTTCTAGCAAGCCGTGCTATTATGGAAGTTATGGATTTATTTGGTGTTATTATGGTGTATTTAAATAATTCTGTCCCAGATATTTCTCCCCAAATTCCTCAAGACAATTAGAAATAGACACACATGAGTCAATAGTTACAGTTGAAAAAGTAAACGTAAAGAGCTAAAGTTATGTGGATAGCAGCTTAGATCATTTTGTCTTCAAACTTCAAAGAATTTGATGAGAAATTAGTTCGTCTAATTTCTATAATGAATTATGAAAATAAATAATATATTCTACAAAATTTTATTTTAACAAATATACTTAAATTTACTTAAACTTAAATTATTGCGATCTCTAGAGTTTATTGGACCTTATTCTTTAGGAGATGTATCTGGGTGGTATGAAAGTCTATTATGCTGTATTGGAGAAACAACAGAGATCTCATTTGTAATGACAGGAGCCATAAGCTGCATGGTCTTTTAAACAGGTTTCTCCTCCCGTCTGCCCCCTTCTCATTCAGTTCTCTCTCTGTCTCACCTGTTTTGTCAGAGTTGCAGAGCAGCGTTTCTTTCTCGGCTCTCTGTCCTGGACTCGGTCCGTGCTTCATCCATGTGGTTATGGTGAACTGATGGGTTAGATTCTGCGGGACGACCCAGTCTGGGATCTTGGCAGCTTGACGGCCATCAAAGCGGTATGTGAGGTCACTGTCCCGGCCGCCATCCACCACAAGAGTCGCCGTCCAATTAAAAACACCGCTGGGGGCCGGCAGAAGATCTGTGCTGCCTGATGAAGCTCCTGGTATGTTGCCGTGGAGACCGATGAGTTAAAATGTTTAAAATGATAAAATGATCATTCGAAACACAGATCACAGTTGTGTTTCACCAGTCTCTTTCACATGACTCATGCTTCAAATGCACCTCTTAGGACAAGGGTGGAGGTTTTGTCTGACTAGTTTAGCCCTCAGGCACATTTCATAATTAAACCAACCCAAGAGAAATGAGGAAGCGCACAATAGAATAAATAGCTGTTAATCATACCGCAGAGCTTCTGAAAGGATCGTTCAGAGTAAGACTGTCTGTCACAGCCTCTTCCAGCACTGCTCGTCTCCAGCTCCACTGTGGTCCTGATCCACGACACCAATCCCACACACGTCTCCAGGTGCATCTTGGGAAATAATGGCTTACTACCCGTTCCTGGTTCATAGTCAATGAGCTGGCTCCAGCCTGGAAAGAAAGAAAGTTAGGAAATGTTTTGATAAGTACCTTAAATATTATTGCATACTTTGTCTAGGACTGAATTGGTAATGTTGCAAATGTTGGAATTAAGAGGTATTTTAACAGGTCTTGGAAAGACCTGTTAAAAAGGCCAGGACCAGAGTTTATATTGTTGAGGTTTTTATGGCTACAGTTCTGCTGAAGAGAAGATCTTGAGAAGATCATAAACACTTGCTTTAACAATTGACTAAAATAAAAAGTATGTACTTATTCACTTTAATTTTACTTAGTTAAACTGTTTTTTTGTAATTCCATGCATGGCATTTACTTATATTTGTAATTTTAATAAAAATGTACTTGATATATAGTGGGTAGGTCCCTAAATATATATTAAATATAATAATAAATATTCAGCACCCCCTTAATGTAAGTTTGTGGTCATTTTTGGAGCACAAATATGACAAGTAGCAAAAAAAAATGTTAATGTGACTAACTGAATAACCCATTTGTTTGTTTTTTTAATGAAGAAGAATCGTATTTTCTTTTTGTTTTATTCAGTTCTGATTTATAATATATTTGAGGTTTGTTACCCAGAGCTCTTAATGTGTCTGGCGAGATATAAAATTTTTCAGGCTACATTGTGGCTGTAATGAATTCTATAGCCAGTGGTTATTTAACGTGAAGTTATGGGTGAAAAATTAAAACGGCGGAGAGTATTAAATGGATTGTGTAAACATGCATTCACATACAGACCACACAAATATTAGCTCACTCACACTTTGAGCTGCTGGGTTTGGAAATTTGGAGCTAAAATTATTATTTTATGCATGGAGGGAGCCTAAAAGTAACAACAAAATTTGTGTGTGTGTGTGTGGACGGAGCATGTCCACCCCTGCTGAATTATTCACCCTTGCTTATGAGACACAACGGGGAGCTGTTTACTTTTCTCTCTCCTTCATGATTTTATGTCAGATGGGAAAAAATGGCCTTTACTCAAGTTGTCATCATCCAGTGGGCTGGAAAAAAAATTGGCCTGAAGCTTTGACCAAATTCGTGTGTGTGAGTAAAGAGGAACATTTTTTGAGTCTCCAAACTCACCTGAGGGACAATCACATCAGAGACACATCAAAAGTGCATTCTGGGAGACAGTCTACTTTAGACAAAAAGTTTACTTGATTTTATCCAGAGAATGGACTGGATGGTGAAAAAGCAAATGAAGGGGTTTTTATGACATTAGGAGACAAGGAAAGTTGTTTGAGGGGATTTTAATTAAAGTTTTAAACAAAAATTGTTTTGCTTTTGGAATAAGATGCACAAATTGTGCATAAACAAGTATTAAAGTAAGAGTTCACGAAAAAATTTGACCCTGGACCACAAAATCATAAGGAATAGGGGTCCATTTTTCGAAATTGAGATTAATACATCATCTGAAAGCTGAATAAATAAGTTAGGATAGGACAATATTTGGCTGAGATACAACCATTTAAAAATCTAAATACTGCAAAAAAAATCTAAATACTGAGAAAATCGAATTTAAAGTTGTCCAAATGAAGTTCTTAGCAGTGCATATTACTAATCAAAAATTAAGCTTTAATATATTTACAGTAGGAAATTTACAAAATATCTTCATGGAACATGATCTTTACTTAATGTCCTAATGATTTTTGGCATAAAAGAAAAATCTATAATTTTGACCCATACAATGCATTTTTGGCTATTGCTACAAATATACCCCAGCGACTGCTTTTGTGGTCCAGGGTCACAAATGTACATTTTGTCACCATTTAAAGCAGTATGATATTTTGAAGAATGCTGACAAAAAAACAAAAAACTAATTTCACAGGAGAAAAAGTCATAGGAGTCTAATAATTAAAATAAAGATTAACTCAAATAAAATGTAAATATTATATGGAAAATTAAACAAATGATATTGATGGAATGCTACAGAAAATTACAGAAACTAAAACATAAAATAATAATAATAATAACAAATATGAATTCAAATAATATAAATTAAGGCTAAACAGAAAAAAACCACATAAAATCACTAAAACTTCAACTAAAATGAAAATGAAAACTGAAAATATAAAAATAAAAACGAATAAAAATAATAATAAATAATACAAAAATAACACTGATAATTATTTTAAAATCATATTCAAATAACTTTACAGCAGTCCAGCTGTACAGTCTCATTAAAAATGTACACAACTGTTATTGTTGCAGTACACTTTCAAAAGGTACTATTATGGACTTTAAAAGTACTAATATGTACCTTTAAGGTACTAAAATGTATCATTTAGTGGTAAATGAGCTACGAAGATGTACCTTTTAGCTTTTGTACCTTAGGGTGCCGGCCCACTGACGGCGTATACCTTTTTTCTGAGAGTGTACAGAAAACACTGAAGAATTTAGCAAATTAGCTTCCTCAAAATTGCACAAATTGGTAACTTGTAAATATGACTTTGTTCCCTGGTTGACCACTGAATCCTGACCATTTTCATGTGCAAAATGCATCCGAGATTAAAACATTTGCAGATCTTACCTTGCCATCCAGGCTTGCAGATGGGTTTGACATGGATGTGTACGACAGCGTCCTGCGCCGCTCTCTTCTGACCACAGTCGAATGCTGTCACATGGATTTTATAATGTGATTCCTTATCAAAGCTCAGGCTCTCTGTGTTCCTGATGTTACCTGCACATAAACACACACACGTTTAAATACCGACGACAGCAAAGTGCTGTTTGCATGTGTGAATGTCTTTGTGTTTATTGTACGTTTGTGTGTGTGTATGTGTGTGTGTGTGTGTTTGAGTTTGCTGACCATTGCGGTCTATAGCGAAGGCTGTGTCCTGAGAGCTGATCTGGTAGTTGCAGATCTGGCTGTATTGTGGAGAGCAGTCCTGGTCTGACGCCTGCACCTGCAGAATACTGTCATACACTTTGCCCTCCGTCACCGAGCCGTGATACTCCAACTGACCGAACACAGGAGAAAACTCGTTCACATCTCCCACCTGCACATGCACCACAGCCCTGAGAAAGAGAGAGAGGTTTTTATTGCTTTTTCATTGTCCAGGAGACTTCATGGAGAAAATGTACTCACCCTCAGGCCATCTAAGATGAAGATGAGTTTGTTTTTCATTGGAACAGGTTTGGAGAAATGTAGCATTCCATCACTTGCTCACCAAACGATCTTCTGCAGTGAATGGGTGCCGTCAGAATGTGAGTCCAAACAGCTGATAAAAACATCACAATAATCCACACCACTCCAGTCCATCAGTTAATGTCTTGTGAAGCGAAAAGCTGCATGTTTGTAAGAAATAAGCCATCATTGATGTTTTTAACTTCAAACCATTGCTTCTGGCTAAAATGCGAGTCCTCATATTATTGCCTTCTCCAGTGAAAAAGTAATCTTATCAGAGTCAAGAGAGAAATATGCACAGATCAAGCACTGTTTACAAGCCAAAACAGCTCTAAACAAATATGTTGGTGGATTTTGATGTGAGAGGACAACAGGGGATGGACTTTTTCTCTGGAGGAAGCGTTATTATGAATCATGGATTCATATTTTGGCCAGAAGCAATGGTTTAAAGGTAAACATGTCTTGATGTTTTTTTACTTTACAAGATGTTAATTGATGGACTGGAGTGACGTGGATTACTTGTGGATTATTGTGATGTTTTTATCAGCTGTTTGGATTCTCATTCTGACGGCACCCATTCACTGCAGAGGTGAGCAACATTTCTCCAAATCTGTTCCGATTAAAAACAAAACAAAAAACAAACAAACAAAAACATCTACATCATGGATGGCCTAAGGGTGAATAAAGTTTAAGCAACTATTTTTTAAGTATCAACTTAGATGTCTTAGATGTTTCTGTTAAATGTTTGAGTTCATTTTTACTGCTGATTTCAGACTTTAATACTTTTGGCAAATCTGAGCACAGTTTGTGTTAAATTCCTCCAAAATCCAAATCCAATTTTTGTCATTTTTATTGTTTATACACACAAATACACACACACACACACACACACACACACACACATACGGCACCCATTCACTGCAGAGGTGAGCAACATTTCTCCAAATCTGTTCCGATTAAAAACAAAACAAAAAACAAACAAACAAAAACATCTACATCATGGATGGCCTAAGGGTGAATAAAGTTTAAGCAACTATTTTTTAAGTATCAACTTAGATGTCTTAGATGTTTCTGTTAAATGTTTGAGTTCATTTTTACTGCTGATTTCAGACTTTAATACTTTTGGCAAATCTGAGCACAGTTTGAGATATTGTGTTAAATTCCACCAAAATCCAAATCCAATTTTTGTCATTTTTATTGTTTATACACACAAATACACACACACACACACACACACACACACACTTCTACATCTTTGTTTTATATATTTATGTATTAGTTTTAGTTTTGGTCATTTTAGTACTTTGACTTATTTTAAGTTAGTTTCTAATGTTTGCAATTTATTTTATTTCTGCTTTATTTTGATTAACAAAACTATTTTTAATAGTTTTAGTTAACAAGAACAACACTGTTAAATATGTCTTTATATGCGTCTAATAACTGGGATTACATGGAGACCAATGGAGACATTTCTCCTAAGAAAAAGACTTCAGGACATGTGTCTCCTCTAGAGCAGAGCTCACTTATTTCTCTAAATGTCCTTCTCTACATATTTTTTATCAACCTATTAAAATAGCAACTATATGTCAGGTTGTGTTTATCAGGAAAGGAGCACAGTTGGCTGTATTTTATTTTGTGATTTTACTGGAACTTAGCATGATTGCGCACCACAGTTTTGACTGCTGAGCTAAAAGCGTATTTTTAGGGGGCCTGAAATGAAAAACAGCAACTAAAGCCCATTTAAATAGCATCTAGAATGAAACATTTTCAGTTCAACAGTCAAAAACTAATAAAGATTTATTTATGGCTTTTTATGCCTTTATTTAGATAGGACAGTATAGGTCGACAAGAAGTGAAAAGGGTGAGAGAGAGAGGGGCATGGGATCGGGAAAGGTCCGCGAACCGGGACTCGAACTCGTGACACCCGAAGCACAAGTTTTAAATGTAAATAAACAAAATAGTCTCTCCAAGACTTCTGCTTTATAAATAACACTAACTTTTAAAATAACTGACTAGTAGACAGCATATTTTTTATTATGCCATTTTGAATAAATGCTGTGTAAATCAGACTTTAAATTTTATATTTGCCAGTACAGCTGTGCTGCAGGTTTTCTTGTGATTTTTGTGTCTATAATTATATTAATATATGAGAAATGATTTGCGGTCCAGATCTGAACTAATTAGTGATCTCTGCTTTAGAGGAGACACGTGTCCTGGAGTCTTTTTCCCAGGATAAAAAGCACCAAAAAGTCTCCATTTGTTCTCCATCACTGTCCAGGAGAAGCAGCGAACATACTAAAGAGATCTCGTTTTGTGATTTCTCTCTCCTGCAGGTCATTATAAAGTCTTAGAAAAGTCTTCGGGGAGAGAAAGATATTTTTTTTAAAAAGAGGTCTAAAAGAAAAAAAGCGCCTCCAGGTATCCTCACGGCCAGTCCTGACACACTTTTGCGAGCTGAAAATACCAAAATAGCAAGCTTGCATCATTCATGTCATAGACAGAGTGACAAGTGAGTAATGCTTTGCAAAGGGCAACAGCTTGTGTGACAAATGACGGGATTACAAACACTGCTGCTAATCTGTGCTATAATGTTAAAAACCAGAACATACGCAGACACACACATGTATATGCATTAGGCATGGAATCTCTTGTAAAGCACTGTGATTTTGCAGCTTTACTGCCCTTTAGAGTCCAATATCTCACTTTTATCCTTTATCCGTGTGTGTGTGTGTGTGTGTGTGTGTGTAGCATCATAGATCCAAGCTGTCATAGCCGAATACAGTAATCCTGTCTGGATTAAAGAGATACAGAGTAATGAGGAAAGTCTCTCTCTCTCCTCTCTTTTTTCTCCACGATTTCATCACTAACCTCATTTCTATCTCACTCATTCACAAATGTATTTTTCATTTTGTTTCAAAGGACTTCAGTCTTGTGGTTGCCGCTCCTTCGTCGAATCCGCCGGCAGCGCCGTTCTCAACCCCCGCCGCCTCTGCTCACTCTAGCCCAGCCTCAGCTCACGCTAGGCCACCGTGTTTTTCGTTATGAACGCGATCAGTTATTATTGGTTCTCAGTTATTAATAATGGTTGTCTTTTTATCAATGTTAAAAACAGTTTTTGCTGCTTAACATTATCAGGGGGAAAAACTGCATTCATTTGAAATCGAAATCTTTTGTAACATTAGAAATGTCTTTGCTGTCACTTTTGAGCAATTAAATGCGTCCTTACTGAATATGAATTTGCCTTTTTTAAACTGGACTTACCCCAAACTTCTGAATAGCAGTGTATCATGGTTTCCACAAAAACATGAAGCAATGTTTTCAACATTTATAATAATCAGAAATGTTTCTTGAGCAGCAAATCAGTATATTAGAATGACTTCTGAAGATCATGTGACACTGAAGACTGGAGTAATGAGGCTGGAAGGATCAAAGGAATAAATTACATTTTACAGTATATTGCAATAGAAAACAGTTGTTTTACATTGTAGTTACATTTCACAAAATTACTGTTTTTATGCATTTTTAATTTAATAATGCAGCCTTGGTGAGCATAAAAAAGACATAAATTACAGACCCCAAACTTTTTTATTTAAAGGGGTCATATGATGTTGCTAAAAAGAACATTATTTTGTGTATTTGGTGTAATGAAATGTGTTAATGCGCTTTAAGGTTCAAAAACCACATTATTTTCCACATACTGTACATTATTGTTTCTCCTCTATGCCCCGCCTTTCTAATACGTGTCGATTTTTACAAAGCTCATCGGTATGAAAAGCTAGGTGTGCTGTGATTGGCCAGCTATCCAGTGCGTTGTGATTGACCGAATACCTCAAGCGTGTGACGGAAATGTTACGCCCCTTACCATACTGTTGATGCCCTGTCCGGCCGGAGCAACGAGACAAAAACATTAAAACCCATTACAAACGAGGCATTTGTTGCATCTAGTGGGGACATATTTATGGATTATAATGACTTATACTCTCTTTTTACGTTGTGTTGCATCGCGCCGCGTAAACATAAAACCATGTCTGCATTTGTGATCGGAGAAATAACAAACAACAAGCACTACTCTACATTGCTCAAAACTCATGTTTGAATCATCAGTGGCAAATTCTTTAAATATAAAAACGTACTTACAGTCTGTGAGTCAGAACAGCAACAACAATACTACAGCGAGAATAAAAGTTACTCCTTCTTTCTTTGTGTGAACATTTGGGTGGTGTTATGCAAATCTTCCCACATCATGACGTAGATATGTGGGGGCGTGTTTAAACGAGCTGTTTTAGGTAGGCGTGGTTGACTCTTAACTTTTATAAAGAATATCTCTTTAGATTTGAGACTTTAGTCTTTGCAACTTTACAGATCTTCTTTATGCACCAAGAGCTTGTAACACTCCAAAGAGAAAGGAAAAATTGAAATCGCACCATATGACCCCATTAAAAAGTTTCAACTACCCAGTAGCAGGTGCGTAACTTAAAGGACACAAAAGAACAGGGTACTTCTAAAAGTAGGAAAATAAAAAAACTGTGACTAACAGAGAGAGGTGAGTCAAGCACAGATGAATAATTTTAGAAATAGTTCACCGTGTTCCTTTCAGTTCAAAAACATCACAGACATGAATCAGACTGAGGTGGAGCACATGCATTTCTTTAAACACACACTGACTTGTGTGATCTCTTCTCTCCGTGTCCCTCCGGTCCTGTGCCACAGTCACGTGCTTGAATGATGAAGGTGAATTCTCTCTGACGCTCGCAGTCGATCGGTCCACGCGCCCGCAGACGGCCCTCTCCTGACGTGCGGTTCAGAACCACACCTTCAAACGGAGCGCTGAGACCCTGCACGTGAAAGCCACAGATTTCACCTACAGAGTGAGAAGACGACAGAATAAGACCTCCATTCTTTTCACCAACTTTCCTGTTTGTAATCTCAGGGTTACTGCTCTTTTTAATCCCACAAAAACCTCGCAGTGAGAAGATCTAAGGGGGCAAATTCTTTACTTTTCTAGCTCTTTATTGTTTTCCCTTTGTTAAATTGTCAATATAAATAGACATGAACAGCCAGCCAAAGTTTGGAATAATTCAGATTTTTTTATGTTTTTGAAAGACAGTATAAACAGAAATATTGTGAAATAATATTACAGTTTTCTGCTGTAATACGTTTTAAAATGTAATTTATTTCTGTGATGCAAAGCTGAATTTTTTTAATAGTCTTCAGTATCACATGATCTTCAGAAATCATTCTAATATGCTGCTCAAGAAACATTTCTTCTTATTATCAGTGTTGGAAACTGCTTCATATTTTTGTGGAAATCATGATATAATACTATTCAAAAGTTGATGGCATTTTTTGATAAAGAAAGAAATGAATAGTTTTATTCAGCAAGGACAAATTGAATTGATCAAAACTGACAGTAAAAACATTTTATAATGTTACATAAAAATTATATTTCAACAAAATTCTGTTCTTATGAACTTTCTATTCATCAAAGAATCTTGGAAAAATGCATCACAGTTTTTTCAAAAATATAAAGCAGCAAAAAGTTTTCAACATTGATGATAATGAGAATATTATTAATAATTGAGACTCGATAATAATTAAGAAGGAAAACAGCCTATTAGAATGATTTCTGAAGGATCATGCAGACTGGAGTAATGATGCTGAAAATTCAACTTTGCATCACAGGAATAAATTACATTTTACAGTATATTACAATATAAAACAGTTATTTTAATTTGTAATAATATGACACAATATTGCTGTTTTTACCATATTTATGATCAAACAAATGCAGCCTTGGTGAGCATACGAGACTTCTTTCAAAAACATTAAAGAATTATAATTATTTCCAAACTTTTCGACCGCAGAATAATTTATATTTGAAATACACTTATAATGTTAGTCAAGTTGACATTGTCCCCAATTCTCATATGGAGGTGATCTTGGCTTGTAAGAACCTACCTAGCAACAGCTTAGCAACCACAGAACACCATAGTAAATAGGCAGCAAGATGCTAACAGCCGCCCACAATGCTGATGAGTTTTGCATGAGCAAACATCCTCACTTTTAGTGAAATCTAGTTATTAATATGATTGTCTCTGTGTGTGTGTGTGTGTGTGTGTGTGTGTGTGTTGTGTAAAACAGCACTGCTGTCCAGCACTGATAAGAGTATTCTCCATCTCTCCTCTCTTTGATCTTCAGAATAAACCTACATTCACCACATATACAAAACAACAGAGAGAGGAAGAGCCAAGAGATGGAGAAAAAGCAGCAATCTTGTTGAATAATATTTCACAGTTTTTCATTGGCTATGCTTCTGCATGTGTGAGTGCATAAGACTAAAAATGAATAATAGTGCATTCAGGCATTAAAAAAGCTAGCATTCAGAAATATGTGTGAGATTGTTTAGTTTGTTTGTTTTGTTTTCTCAGCATGGACACTGATATAGTAAGGGGCGTTCACACAGCATGTGTTCTTGCATTTATTTTGCTTTTTTTTTAAATTGTTGGTCTACATGTTTTTATAAATGTCATTTTTGTTTCATTCTCTTGAGCTTTTAATACATCCTATGCATCAGGAATAAATTGCTTCCTCTGTTGAAAATTGCTTTGGATAAAAGCATCTGCTAAATGCATGAATGTAAATGTAAGTGAGGGGCTTTTTCTACATATATATATATATATATATATTGCAAGCTTTATCATACTGAAGGGGTTTATTTTGCAATATTGATTATCGTGACAAATAAATTAATAAATGGACAATAAATATTGATTTAAGTTTAAATTATTTTATTATGAGATAAGAAAGAGACTGCGGAGTGATATGAGGGATATGAATGATGTTTTCCTGAGAGCTATGCAATAACACACAATAGTTTGTGCACAAATGTATAGGAGATGTGTAGTTTGGACATAAACAGATCAGTGATGCTCAGTATCGGTTATATATATATATATATATATATATTCATGCTATGCTTTAGTCATAAATATGGCTGTAGAGATGAACGTGACAGTGTGCATTATGAAGGAAAGAAAAATCAGTATGGAGTGCATGAATTGAAGGCTGGATCACTAAAAGGATTCACACACACACACACGCACAGGTTTGTTTTTATGGTTTATGGGGACTCTCCATAGGCGTAATGGTTTTTATACTGTACAGACCGTATATTCTATTGTCCTACACCAACCCTACCCCTAAACCTACCCCTTACAGGAAACTTTGTGCAATTTCAGATTTTCAAAAAAACTCATTCTGAATTATTTATAAGCCTTTTGAATTACGGGGACACTGAAAATGTCCTCATAAATCACCTTCTCGTTGTAATACCTATGTCATACCCATGTTATTATACAAATTTGTGTCCTCATAAACCACATAAACAGGCACACACACACACACACACACACACACACACACACACACACACACTGTATATCTGTGATGGACATGCTCTCTAGTATTTCCAATAAGCTGTCAGCTGAACACAAAGCTCAGAGAGAGAGAGAAGCCCCTTGAACAATAGAATTCCAGCTCATGCACTGTAAAAAGTAATCACTGAATTTACTTAAGAAAAGCGAGTAAACATAACTGATTTTTAAAAATTTGTTGAATTTACTTAATTACACTGTGTTATGTGAACTTTCAGGTGGATGCAATAGTTAAACTAAACAACTTTAGTAAACAGTACTTAAGAGCATCTAGTTTGTTGGATTAAATCCCACTATGTGCCCTAATAACTCTAGACCAGTAGGTGGCGGAAGTGCACCAATAGGTGGCGGAAGGTTGGTTTAAACAAAACATCACCAGAAGAA